TGAAGTATGACGCTGCGCTAGGCTACACTTGTCCCTGTTTGTGATTGGTCAAATGTTGCTAACCCCGCCCCTTTCACGTGAACACGCTCTCAGCTGGAGAGAAAAACCCTGGCTTGATTTACGGAGTTGATAACCAGCGTCATAGGACCGCTTAGCGAGAGCGCGTTTGTAACCCACCGGACGCGTCCCAGAAGCGTTTCAGAAGCGTAGCGTCGTGCGTGCAGGCTCGCAGTTTTATTATTGATTCGGGCATCCTGGACATTTGTACTTCTACAAGAAAGTAAGTAGGCTACGTAGTTAAATGTTTTATTTTTGTGTCTGTTTAAATTGTGTTTATTGAATGGCTCTGTATACCTGCAACAAGTATTAATTAACTTAAAAACATTAATATGTAGTTGTTACCTTCCACTCCACAAACTGCAGTGACTAAAAACCAGGCCTTGTCCTTTCTGATGTTGTCCTTGTAGTAAGCATTGGTTACATCATATAAAATAGTGTGTTTTTCCACTTCCATGATGAAAACCTCGTCGTCCATTGTGCGTATCGTAGTGGAGGTGTTGTGATGAAGGAGGGCGGTCTGCTAAATTAGTATATGTGGGGGATGGGCCTGGCCCGGATGCTCACCTTTCCACTTCCTGCGAGGGGGGGCTGGATTCATCCTAATTTTAGAGAAGCGCTGCGCCGAGCCGCTTCTGGGACGCTTCTGGGACGCTTGAGCCGTAACGCGGCGCGTGTGGTGGAATAGCACCCATTGACTAGAGTGGCCGCGATCCTTATGACCGCCGCGGCGCAGCCGTAACGCGGCGCAGCGCGGCGCAGCGCGGCGCAGACGGACCCGGTGGAAACTGGGGGTCAGCCTTCCCTAGCCTACAGTACCTGCCGCCCCTGCTCCAGCGCCCTATACATGCTGGCGCGCGTGCACTTTAATCACTGGCTGTCACTAGACTTCACTCCACATAAATCCCTTCAAACCTGTGTGATTTAGTTTTCACATGTTTGCTGAAATTAATTCGTCCATCTCTTTTTATTCATGGTTTTGAATGTATTATTTTGGTCCTGTATTTGCTTTTTCGTGTACAACATTTAGGTTAAGTCAGAATACTAACACAAACACACACTAATACTACTCAGTGGCGACTGGCCATTAGGCACAGCCCCACCTAGTGTCAGCAGAAAGTATTACAAATAATGATTACAAAAAAATGCAAAAAAAGAAATTAAAAAAAGTATAAAATATATTTTAAGATCATGTTTAATCATCTGATTCGTCTGTACATTTCTGTTTTAGTCTGTGTTCTTATAATTAGTGTCTACAGTGTGTGCCTATTGAGCCATTTTGAGCCATGTGTGACAAAACCCAATTATTATACAGCACTCCAGAACCTAATTGTATCACTGGACTTTTAAGGTATATCTGATATGAACTAATTATGAACACATGACAATGTCACATTCTGTTAATCTGCCAAAGAAGGGAATGTTACTTGCTCACTTGAATGTGTGTAGTTTGAGGAATAAGGTGCATGAGCTCTGCCATTTGGTAGAATCAAATAATATACACATACTGGCTATCTCAGAATCACACCTGGACTCATCTGTTGATGATTCAGAGGTTGCAATGCATGGTTACAATCTGTTCAGAAAGGATAGAGATAAGAATGGTGGCGGAGTTTTGATCGTACACAATCATATTCCAGCTAAAGTACGATACGACCTAATGAAAAATGAAATAGAAGCTTTATGGTTACAAATACAATTGCCAAATTTAAAACCCATATTAATTGGATGCTGTTATAGGCCACCGAGTGCCAATTCAAACTATCTAGATGGTATTTGTGAAATGGTAGATAATACAGCTGAGTGTAATAGCGAAATGTATTTCATGGGAGACCTGAATATCAATGCCTTCAATGAGAAATGCCCCATGTGGAACAAGATTGCATTAGCTGCCAAAATGTGTAATATGACTCAGGTAATAACATCACCAACCAGAAGGGCTACAAATAAACATGGGGCTATTACAACGACCTGCCTTGACCACATCTATACTAACAGGCCAGAGCACTGCACTAAAGTGTTGTCACACTCACAGTTGGCTTTAGTGATCATAATCTAGTTGCTATAGTACGCAAGACCAAAATACCTAAGGCTGGCTCCAAGATAAATTATAGAAGGTCTTATAAGGGGTTTAATCAGGAACAATTTGTGGAGGAGGTAAAGAATGTGCAATGGTTTGATTTTTGCCATGAGGAAAACCCAGAAAAAGCACTGGGAGTATTTATGAAGTCTTTCATGGGGATTGCCGATCAGCATGTTCCTATGAGAAAATGGTCTGCCCGGTCACAGTGTGCACCTTGGTTGAATGACAAGATGAGAAGTTTAATGGTCCAACGAGATGATGCTAAAAAAACTGCAGACAGAACAGGTTCTCTATGTGACAAACAACATTACTGTAAACTAAGAAATGCGGTAACCAAATTGAATAAATGTAGAAAGAGGGAATACTACATGCAAGAAATCAGTGATTCTATGAATGATGGAAAGAAATTATGGAAAATATTGAATAACATAATGGGGAGGAACTCAAACATGCATCCTTCTTTTATAGAAACCGAGGGTAAATTCATTACCAAGCCAGCAGATATTGCAAATCATTTTAATGATTATTTTACAAATAAAGTAGATAAGCTGAGGAATGCCATGGGTGCAGTCAAGGACACAGTGTCACATCACATGATTAAAGATTGTATCATGAGGGAAAAGCAGTGCATGTTTGAATTCCACAATGTTACAGAAGAATATGTTGAAAATATGCTTTTAGATCTGTCCGATGATAAATCTCCTGGGATTGACAACTTGGATGGTAAACTGCTCAAAATGACGGCCAAATACATATCCAAGCCATTGAGTCACATTTTTAATAAAAGTTTAGAGCCAGGCGTGTGCCCCGAGATCTGGAAGGAAGCCAAGGTCATCCCATTACCCAAGGATAAAAGAAAAACCTTTGCTGGTTCCAATAGTCGACCTATAAGTCTCCTCCCAGTGTTAAGTAAATTAATAGAAAAAATAGTATACACCCAAATTCAATACTACTTTTCAAGTAACAATCTGACAACGAACTACCAACATGCCTATAGAGATGGTCACTCTACAAGTACAGCACTTGCACAAATGACCGACGACTGGTTAAAGAGCATGGATGATAGGAGGCTTGTAGGAGCTGTGATGTTAGACTTTAGCGCAGCTTTCGATGTAATCGATCATAGTCTGCTGCTGAACAAACTCAAATGCTATGGCTTTGGTTCTGTTGCTATGTGTTGAATGGAGAGCTTCCTGACTAGGAGAAGGCAGCGAGTGTTTTTCAATGGGAGCTTTTCTGAAAGTAAGGTGTTGCAGTGTGGGGTCCCACAGGGGAGTTCGCTTGGGCCTTTGTTGTACTCTATATTCACAAATGACCTTCCTTACGTATTAAATAAGTCCAGTGTAATAATGTATGCTGATGATTCCACGATGTACAGTACAGCATCAACATGCAGTGAGTTAAACTATCTACTTAAAATAGAGATTAAAGCCATAGCAGACTGGGTCAACAATAACAAACTGGTACTCAACATTGCAAAAACAAAAGCAATGGTGTTCGGATCCAGACATATGTTAAGCAGCAATCCTCAATGAAGCCTGACACTGGCTGGTCAGCCGGTGGAACAGGTAAACGAGACTAAGTTGCTTGGCATTGTTCTTGATTCTGGTTTACGGTGGACAAAGCAAATTGACAGTATCGTAACTAAAATGGGAAGGAGCATAGCTGTGGCGAGAAAATGTACAAAGTATGTAACACCAACCACTTTGAAACAAGTCATTCAGTCTCTGGTTTTGTCACATCTAAAGTACTGTCCGGTCATATGGTCATCAGCAGCAAAAACACATTTACAGAAATTACAAATAGCTCAAAACAAGGCTGCCAGACTAGCTCTCCACTGTTCGAAGCGCACTCATATTGGAGTTATGCATAGAAGCCTATCATGGCTTCCAGTTGAGAAACGTCTGCAATCTCGTGTTATCACTTTTCTAAAAAATGTCCAATTTAGCAAAAAACCACTGTATTTTTATGATCAAATAGTTTACACAAGAGACGAGCATGACCATAAGACTAGACGAGCTACATCAGGCCATCTACTGGCACCTAAACCCAGGACACATCTTCTGAAATCTTCTGTGTCTTATAGAGCTATAAAGGAATGGAACTCATTGCCAAACTACCTTACTGAAATAGAGTCCAGAGCCTCTTTCAAGAAGAGATTGAAGGGCCATCTACTAATGACCATGTACCCTTGTGAGCTGTGAACTCTAATTTAATTTGATCGCATGTTGTTGATGATATTGGTGATGTTTTTAATGTTGTTAATTTTATTAATGATGTCAGGACTTATGTCCTAAATGTTGCTGTATTATTGTTGTATTATTGTTGTATTGTTTTAAGTGTCGGACCCCAGGAAGAGTAGCTTTTGTCGAGAGCAAAAGCTAATGGGGATCCTTAATAAACATAAACATGCCCCTCCACCTTCACTGTCTAAGTCAGGGGTGTCAAACTCAAATACACAGTGGGCCAAAATAAAAAATCGGTACTAGTCGAGGGCCGGACTGGTTCAATGTGTATTGAAAAATGTATAGAAATGAACTTATTGCACATATTAAACTTGGAACTAACAAAGCTTAAATTATTGCCTATAAAAACAACATTAAACATTAAATAATCAGTTGCATTCATTTGGCTCTATCTGCAGCTTTTCCGGAGTCATTTACATTTTTCCACAGGCCAACAACAGCTTAAAAAAAACAATTTCCCTCAAAGAAAAAACCAAACATGCCTTGTTGTCGCAAGAAAAAAAGTGCAGAAGGAAACATCCATTGAAACTCAGTGTGCTGCTCTGTGATGCTAATTCAAGCCAGATACTTGACATCTCATCTCGGGTGCAAGGGCATCAATGTTTGGGGTCAGGCTCTGAGCTGAGGAAATCCTCAGGATTGAGTGAAGGTGTGCGTGCAATATACCGGTGGGCCAGAACTAATAGTAATTACAAATTATCCTGCGGGCCGAAATTAAATCCACCAAGGACCTGATTTATCTATTGATTAGATTTATGATTCGACTTTTGAAACTACAAGAAGATAAGGAGGACTTTTACAAAAAAGTAACAGAGATTTTTGTCCAGAAGGATAGGCAAATGGACTTCATCTTCAAGTCAAGGTAAGACCGCAATTTTATTGAAAATGGGATCTTACTAAGAGAGAACAATTCAATATTTAAATGATAAAATTCAAAATGTTGGGTATCCTTTTGTTGAACTGTCTGTTTAAAATTAATCGAAGCATCAGTCAAAAAAAGCTTTTGAAAATGATATTATATTTTGATTTAGGTCAAAATATAATATTTGTAAACCTGAAGAGTCAGTGCCAGTGCCTCACCAGCCATGAACCTCACTGCAGAAGCTTATAGACATCTAAGTTCTTTGTGCCCCACCACTTTTGTGCATATAAAACGCCACTGCACTTGAGCACAGAGATGTGCCAATACTCACACGCGCAAACTGAAAGGGGTAAACTCATACATGTCTATAAAGCAGTGAATATATGCATGTTCTGTTCCCTATATATTTGACTGTTTTGCTCCATGTTACCACTATTGTTATGAATGTATATATTCACCTGTATGTGGCAACACTCTTTAATTGCTCCAATCGTTATTACCGGCCTTTCATGGCTTCTGCACAATGTAATGTTACATGTTGTATACTGTTTTTGTTGATTTTACTATTGACAACAGAGTTTTAGTGTAAGTTAGGTGTTTTTGAGCTGGCAATTAAGAGCACAGTTCAAGCCCCACGTCCCCTCTTGGATGCTGTTTTTCACAATGTCAGAGGTTTTTATGCCATCAGTTTAGTTCCCCCTTTTTTTATTTTTCCTTTTTCTCTCTCATGTCCCATTATTCTCCTTTCCCCCTCTCCACGCCCAACACCCGGCCCTACCCCTGCTCCACTTCTGTTAGTCTTTGTCCCACTAATCTCTTAGAATATGACAATTACAGCTAACTGCAATCAAGTCCGGCCCATCCACTTTTTATCTTTAAACACTAAAGGTATGAACAACTGGGTGAAAAGACAGAAAATAGACTCTTATGATGATTATCATTTCTTCAACAAACTATTCTCTACCTTACCCAGTGATAACAACTACAATCTGATAGGAGGAGACTTTAACTGCATGCTTAGCATTGGATAGATCATTTAACAGGGCTCAGCCTCTTACCAAATCTGCTAAAGTTATCAACGATTTCATTACTCAAAATACTGTTTCGGATATTTGGAGATTTAAATTGAACAACCAAAAAGTATTTTCCTTCTTCTCCAATGTTTATCACACATATACCCGCATTGACTACTTTCTCTTAGATAATAAACGACTGGGAAATGTTAACTGCTGCTCAAATGAAAGTATCACAGTTTAAGATCATGGAGCAGTTCCATGTCATATAACATTGCCTAACTCCCTGAGACCCTCTCAAAACTGTAGACTTAACTCCCTCCTTCTAGCTGACAAACAGTTTGTAAGTCATATCATTTCTCAAATTATCTTCTTTCTTGAAACTAACACCTCCGCAGAAATCACTCATTCAACCTTATGGGAGACCCTCAAGGCCTACCTCCATGGGCAAATAATTGAATACTCTTCCAGGGCAAAAAAAGTAAGGGACTCCAAACTCATTGACATCTCACGCTGTATTTTGGAGATTGACAATCTCTGCTCGTCCTCCCCATGTCCAAAACTTTTTAAAGAAAGGCTGCATTTACAGACGGAATACAACTTACTTTCCACAGACAGAGCTACACATCTACTTACCAAGTCTCGATTTGCTGTTTATGACTCAGGTGATAAGGCTGGGAAGTTGTTGGCCCAACAGGCTCGTCAAGCTCAATTCTTATCCCCAAGATCTATAGTGAATCAGGAGAAACAGTCACTGACCACAGGGACATCAATGATATCTTCAAAGAGTATTACAGCGGTTTATACAGCTCTGAATGTGATAATCGCTCACAACTCAACCATTTATTTGATAAAATTACTTTCCCTTCAGTTCCAGCCAAACAGAACTCTCTATTAGGAGGCCAGATTTCCAACGAAGAAATTCTAAGAGCTATTCAATCGTTAAAATGTAATAAAACACCTGGACCAGATGGTTATAGTTCAGAATTCTATAAGAAATTTGCGCCCCAACTTTGCCCCCTGCTCAAAGACATGTTTAATGAATCCCTTTCCTCTGGCCTTCTTCCACTTACGACAGGCTGCAATTACTCTCTTACCAAAAGGGGGCAAAGACCCACTTCAATGTGCCTCCTATCGACCAATCTCCTATCGACCAATCTCCCTACTTAATGTGGATCACAAAATGTTATCCAAGGTCCTAGCTTCGCGCCTGGTGAAGGTTACCCCACAGATAATCTCACCAGACCAAACTGGCTTTATTTCAAACAGACACTCAAGCTCCAATCTTCAGAGGCTTTTCAATATTGTCTACTCATCTTCTTCTTGTTCCCCCGAAATGGTGATATCTCTGGATGCTGAAAAAGCATTTGATCGAGTTGAATGGCAATATCAATTTTTTACTCTTAAAAATGTTGGATTTGAAGATTCCTTCATTTCATGGATTAAACTCCTCTACTCTCAACCACAAGCCGCTGTAATCAACACAGTCTCACTCCCTGATAGTCTAATAGCGACGCTTGGTCAGGGTCCTATGGTGTGCAGTTGTGACGCGCAGTCTCCTTCAGCTTCATAAACGGACGCAAAGAGCTTTCAAGTGATTGCAATGTATTCCCATCGGCGGCAGTATTTGACGCTCAGGGAAGCACCGCATCGGTCCATGTCGGCTGCAGTTAAAGGCAATGTGAGTGTCCATTCCCATTGGATAACTGAGGATTTTACACCCGGAAGCAGGGGGGATCTAGACAAATATTCATGGGGTGGCAAGAGGGTGGCAGGAGAATTTCAGGGGTGGCATCCCCGGGCAGAAGTATATGCTGATTTAATCGCAGTCATATCAATTAATGTTAACTTGGAAAGCCACAATATTGATATTTTAACTTAATATCACATTATTGTGGCACATCAGTAAAGCCATACATATAAATATATAAGGTGGCAGACATAATTTAATGAATTTTAACTGAATGAGTTGGTTTCACTCTTAGACCAGCAGGGGTACCAAATCTATGCAGACTGCTGCAATAAGTACATTAATTAACTGTCTCATCAATGTGTGTCTGTATGAATATGATAATATTACAATCATATTATTCCTATCAGCTGTCAATCACTGTTATGATTCACATATTCATTTATTATTGAATAAACTATATTTTTTGGAGGAGTTAATGATGAACGTTCCTCAATATGCTTGCTCACCCTCCTTCAAATTTGAAAGACCAGTAATTACTATCATAAATAAAAAATAATCAAGAGAATAGTTCAGCGCCCCACAACTTAATTGCAAACACTTACAACCTTGACTTTACATCAGAAAGAACAAACATTAAAGAAGTGACTAACTGCATCAATTAGGGTTCAAAAACGTGTAATCAGCTAAAACATATACATCGCTGCAGTTATTATCCAGTGGAAAGTCCTTATCTACTCGCCTAGTTAAATCAAAGTGGTTACTTTTTTTTGGCTGGGCAGTGAAGTTTTACACACTGTCTTATTTTAACCTGAACCTGCTGCTCCTCACAGAGAGAAGATGGAAGAGGCTGTGTGAAGTACTTTACATTGTGAATAAGGGTGGATAGCCCCCATTGTTCTGTGTGTCAAAATGAAAGACAGCCCACACACTAAAGCAAACCGATATTGTTCTAAACTGTATTAAAGTAAACAGGTATTATCTTGAACTGTATTGAAGTGAACATGTATTATTTGGGACTATTTTAAAGTAATCCTATATATATATATAAACCTTCTCACATAAACTCCTTGACCCAGATATCAGCAACACACACACATACGCCTCCGCTTATCAGCACACACACACACACACACACACACACACAACACACACACACACACACACACACACACACACACACACACACACACCACACACACACACACACACACACACACACACACACACACACACACACACACACACACACACACACACACACACACACACACACACACACACACACTTCCCCTCACTAACACACACACATGTTCTTTTTCAAGGTTCTTTCTGGGGCCAATATAATCCCAAGCACCAATATATCTGTGTACAATGTTTGATACCAATATATCTGTGTACAATGTTTTATTGTTTGGGAAGGAATAGTTTGTGTGAAATCTTTCTTGGGAAAGTAAAGGAGTTAACCCAGGTATAAGAAGCACTTTTATACTAATAAAGGACTGGCTTACCTAAAGCCAGTTGAGTAGCACTTGAAATGTTTGGCTCTATGAAACCTGATGTACTTATATGATTCTGTTTTCTTCAAGGTTGTGTCTTCCTGGTCGAATGTACTTATTGTAAGTCGCTTTGGATAAAAGCGTCAGCCAAATGCAATGTAATGTAATGTAATGTAATAAGTAGGGTCGGGACTTTAACGCGTTAATTAAGATTAATTAATTACACAAAAATTAACGCGTTAAAAAAATTAACGCATTTTAATCGCACTTATTTTTGCACCGCGGAACGTTTCTCACTGGATGAGTTTCAGGCGTACCGATTATACTGGAGCACCAACTAACGTTCATGACTTCAGACAACAACAAACCACAGTGAACAACAGTGGGAAATGTTGTTTTAAAAAACGGACGGATGGAAGCGTCGATAAGAGCACGGTTGTGTGCAAATTATGCAAAAAGGAATTCGCATATCACCGCAACACATCAAGCCTCAAGTATCACCTCAATGCAAAACATATAGCAGCTAGCGTGGAAGCTAGCGTGGACGTTAGCCTCTTTTATCGCGTTCACACCAAAAAGAGCCGGTACTAAAATTAGTTCATGAGAACCTTTTTACCCCCACGAAAGTTCCTGCTAGAGAGCAGAGAGCTGCTAGAGAGCAGGGACTTTCGTACGGCTCTCTTGTGAGAAAAGAGCTATATTTCTGATTGGCTGGGCGGATTGCAAACCACGCCCCGTAAAACTCCCAAAAAGTTTTGTGAAGCCGCCATTTTATTATCCTCGCATTAGCATTATTAGCATTAGCCCAGCGCAGAAACGCAGAGAGACTAACTTATGGCAACACAAAATAAAACATGGGAGCGGTGGAGATGAGGAGGTGTCGGCGTTCTAGCGATTTACTCGGAAGGCTACTGGGACTCCCATGCTTCATTTGCCTAATCCACCCCCAGGTTCAAAGAGTTCTCATGAACTAAGTTCTCATGAACCTTTGTGGGAAAAGTACTGCGGTGTGAATGCGCCTAATGGTATACTAAAATCCATGTGAAAAAAATTGCTTCTCACTGTTCTTAGGTCAAACATTCATATGTGATTAAAAATGCGATTAATTTCGATTAATTAATTACAAAGCCTCTAATTAATTAGATTAATTTTTTTAATCGAGTCCCGGCCCTAGTAATAAGATAAAAAGTGATTCTGACCTTGTATAGTTCCGAGGCTCTCACGCTCTGTTCTGAAGAAAAATACTTTTTCCCAGAACTCTGATTCGCTGTATTGGGCCCGACCCAAAGTGAATCCAACCAGTAAGAACACCTTAGGAGTAAAATGGGACGGAAGAGCCGACACACATCTCCGCCCCAAATATGTCCATATATACTGTTGTTTCTTCATGCAAAATGCTCCCTGTTTCTGACTGGCTGGTCCCGATATCTGTATCGCACGGCAGTAGAGCGGGGAGCCCGGAGTGCTCTGTTTCAGGGCACTCTGTATTTCGTATTGTGTTTTTTACTGTATTAAAATCAGATTATTGTTATAACTTTTATGCCGGTGTTTTGAACTCCTTTTATTAAATCTGACCAGGCTCATCTAAAGGACGGCGCGGAGCAGAGGTGGGCTTTAAGCCACCACTATTGTGTTTGCTCCTACAATTTGGTGACCTTCCGACGTGATGAGTGCTGGTCTCTAGAAGGAACGGAATTCAGTCCAGGGGAGGACACCTGCACACCGTTGACAACTAAACCAGGACGTCCAGATACAAAGGTGAGCAGACACCTGTTGATTGTCAAAATCTGTGATTGGCTATACTACACATTTTTTAGAGTTGTCATCGGCGTTCTCAGTGTTCTTAGTCACGGTAAAAAATACAATACTGTAGAAAGTGTTTTGTAGAGTCAGGTAGAGCAGTCCTGTACCTAAGGCACTAAGTGTTTGTAAGAGTCTGGTATTGCAGTCCAGTACCTTAACTCACTAAAGTAAGAAGGTGCTTAGAGTCAGGTAGAACAGTCCGGACCTAAGGCACCGAGTTATATTGAAGAAAGTGCTTATAGAGTCAGGTAGAGCAGTCCTGTACCTAAGGCACTAAGTGTTTGTAAGAGTCGGGTAGTAGCTACAGTCCCGTACCTTAACTCACTAAAAGAAAGCAAAGTGAACCAGCGAGGTCTCCGTGGGGTACTAGTCCTGCACGGCTGACTCACTGGGAAAATTCTGTAATAAACTGTGTGATTTTTTTACGTGTAAAAATTGAGAAAAGAGAGCAGAAATAGTGACAGGAGACAGTTGCAGAGCTGAGAGCTTCATGAGACAGAGGAAGCTCATTTGTGGTCAGCTGCTGCCCTTTGGTGGCGAACAGGGTGTGTAACAATATTCTGTGTTGTTTCACGCTGGAAAAACTTTGAATTCAGAATAGAATAAGGACATTAAGAGTAACGACAATATTTGTCCGGTGTATTAATAAATACAAGTGAACACATATTAACTTAGTCAGAGAATAGATACGAAGTCAATTATGGAAGAAGAGTTTGAAAAGAGTGATTTAGGCGTTCCAATTCCCGGAAGCTTCCGCGAAGAATGGGAACAGACTGAGAGATTGATTCCCAGTGCAACCAAACAGAGTGATAAGAAAAAAAGGCTTGTGCAGATCTGAGATTCCTAAAAAATAAAATGATGAAAGAGGACAGAGACAATTGGAGCGAAGGGGCGGAGCTATCAGAACAACGAGGCTCGGGTCAGTCACGTCGAACCGGATGACTGCGGGGCTAACGGTTCGTGTCGCTACCAGTCCGCTGACATGGCGCATCAATCAACGGTAAATGTTGCCCATTACTTGCCCAGTATTACTTTGAATATTATTATTGTGATTGAGGATTAAATCCGCTTTGAAGACCACCGTTTTATATCGTGCAGTTTAGCGGCAAAATAACGTCAGTCAGCCAGCTAACGCTAGCTTTGTTGAGTTTATGCTAGCTAAACAAGTAGTGGTTGCAGTCTACAGCAGTAATTAATATATTATAGCCTATACTGCTTTGGCACTAACGGTTGATAATCGTTTATCAAAATAAAACCAATTGAACTGTACTGAAATAATGACACGTTTTATAATTGTCTTGGGCTCCTGCTGTGTTTTTAAAGCCTTTGTAAATTATCCATGCTATTTTCTATTTAGAACGAAGACTTCAGAATCTTAAAATCCCTTAACGTTTGTATGCAATTGTGCTAAATTCCACTCTGGAATCAAGCAAATATTAATATGTTTGCATGACATTAGTTATTTATATTTTGATATCACTTAACTATACGTTTAATACATTTAAGTCAAGCTAAGGTACATGTGATGGAAGCTAGTTAGTGCTCTTACCTGTGATGCCTCCTCCAAACAGCATAATAACCAGACTGTATCATTAAAACTAAGTACCAGTTCTAGATCCTTGACTTTAGACAAACAATTCAAAAGACAACATGTATTTAAAGACCAATCTTTATTTGAAGGTGCCTCTTAACCTGAGATATTAGTTATACAGTAATAGTATTGACAATCTAAAAAAACTGAGCAACTCAACAGTCAACTTTATATTTCTTATTGTCTAAAGCATTTATTATTTTCATTTTCCCAATCTCATATTCAGTGTGGACGGATTGAGACAGCATGTTGTCCAGAGAGCAGCAGAGACTTCAGGGAGAAACCTCCGTGTGATGGATGTCCTGTCTGTTGGTTTGGAGAGGACTGAGGGTCTTTCCTCAGCGAGGAGGACCAGGCCTGATGGAGGAGCCCATGCTGGGCAAAGCTGATACCAACTGCACAGGCCTAGTCGGTCACTTTATTTGACTAAATGTGTTTACTTATACATTTAATAGGTTTACACCTTCTGTCCATATGTGCTTTTTATTTAAAACATGTTTGATTAACTTTTGGTTCACATTTCAATAAATTGTATTTGTACTCCTTTTGTCCATTATTCTTACTGAAAATGTTAGATTACACATTCACATCTGACTGAAGATTGGCCCCATTTATTTGTGACGTTGCAAACTCTGCGGTACAAGGCACAAGTGATGTGAAGCTCATAAAGTGAGGCAAATAGAAATAATCAGCTGATGGAGTGTAGATGTGGAAATAGATGCATCCCATCAGCTGACTATGTTTTTCGCCACACTTTATAAGCCTGACTATAACCACCCCTTCTCTGAGGTGCAGGCAGCGTCACAAACAAATGATGGTCCTGATAGACTACAAAAATATTCGGTGTGCAGATCTTTTTTTTCACAATAAAAGTAACATCAGCTTTTAATGTTCCTCTTGGATGTTCTTCTTGACCCTCAGAGAAGGAGAAGATGTAGTGTCTTTCAGGCATGTCCCTCCCTAACAAAAATTACAGGAAACATAAAACATTATTGCAGAACAAGTGTGTTATTTATGAAAGAGGTGTGTTTGTGTTTAGGGGCTGTTGATATAATTATTTTTTAATTGTAATCAGATTATGAATGAACAGTATGAAGTTCATCAACATTGAAATATATGTTATCAAAATAATATTGAACTGTTACAAAACGTAGTGCAACTGTAGAAGCTTGCTCTGTTGTCTCACTGAAAGAATAACTTTTACCACGTTTTTTACAGACAATATTGAGAGATAAATAGTAGCAGTTCTCACTATGTGTTAAATATCTTTGCCTTCAATACATTAAATTAGAAAGCTGACAAAGTCATATTGCTTGTTAACATCTAAATGTAACCTTTTGCATGGAAAAAAACCTCAACTTCACTGATGTGTAGGTGATCTAGTATTTAGTATTGTTTAATGGAATGTATATCAGTGTATTCAAGTCAATACTTCATTCATTTAAAACAATATCTTTCTTGATTCTTTGTACAGTATGAAAAAAGAGTCTTTGTACCTGTGCTGAAGTTCACTGCTGTGAGGAGTCTAGTTCTGTCTCTCACTCTCTGGTCCAGCCTGTCTGCATCACCTGGACACCTTAAACAAACAGCTATATATATATATATATGTGTGTGTAAAGAACCATGTGTACAAACAATATAACTGATTATCTTCTGTTGAACATGTTGGATTGTGTATTGTCCGAGTCAGGGTCCTTTTTATTTGACTGTAACTGGAAATTGTGTTACCAATGCTTACTGTTTATTTGATATCAATTTGTAATACAATTAATAAAAACAACAAGGTTTGGGTTCGTTCTTCAGATGACTGACGTTAACGTGTAAGCTCAATAATGAACTCCAGCTCAACCAACCATATTGTAATATCTAAGTAATCATCTTGAAATATGACATTAATAATTGTAATATACACACATCTTATTGTGAGGCTGATTTCACATACACTACTTCGACGTTAGCTAAATAGAAAATAGCATGGATAATTTACAAAGGCTTTAAAAACACAGCAGGAGCCCAAGACAATAACACTTGTCATTATTTCAGTGCAGTTCAATTGGTTTTATTTTCAGAAACGGTTAGCAACCGTTAGTGCCAAAGCAGTAGGCTATAACATATATTAATTACTGCTGTAGACTACAACCACTACTTGTTTAGCTAGCATAAACTCAACAAAGCTAGCGTTAGCTGGCTGACTGACGTTATTTTGCCGCTAAACTGCACGATATAAAACGGTGGTCTTCAAAGCGGATTTAATCCTCAATCACAATAATAATATTCAAAGTAATACTGGGCAAGTAATGGGCAAAATGTACCGTTGATTGATGCGCCATGTCAGCGGACTGGTAGCGACACGAACCGTTAGCCCCGCAGTCTCCAGTCACCCGAGCCTCGTCGTTCTGATAGCTCCGCCCCTTCGCTCCAACCCCCCTCCCTCCCCCACATCTACAGGTGAAAATTACTTTTGCGACACATTTATCACAAGAAGTGTAGCAAAAGTCAAGACCGTAGATTCGTCGATTTATACTGCCACAGAGCAGATTCGTCAAGTTGTAATGACTGATTTGAGAGGTTGTAATAAATAAAGTTGCAGTTGTAATGGAAAATATATTTGAAAAATATGTATCTTTCTGCAAGTGAACATTTCATAACTAAGTTCATTTTTTTTATACAAGCTACAAAACTTTTTTTTTTCTTCTGTGACTTCAAATTTGGTTCACAGTTACGTGGATATTTTTTACAAGTGTAAATTTGGTTCACAGTTACGTGGATATTTTATACATGTGTACATTTGGTTCACAGTTACGTGGATATTTTATACAAGTGTAAATGTATGTACACAAACTCAGATTTTTTTTCTACAAGTGCTCACATCAGGTTTTCACGCTCTCGCATTTTGCACCATATCTACCTTCATAGTAGGAGCCGACGAGACATTCGGAAATCTGTTGATTGTTCTGTCTGTTGGTTGTCATTGTTGATTCGTAAATACCTTGTTTTATGTTGGTAAATGTTTTTGGAATACCAATAGTTTGTTGTTAGTTGTTGAAAGAAGGGTTTTGAACGCTTGTCAGTCAGAAGGAATCTATTAATGTGTATATGACAGGGGTGCTTATGCCCGCTTCGGTTTTCAATGTCCGCCATCACGTTAAAACAGAGGATTGGTGGCATTTTCAGTTCATTGCTTGCTTCCACACGCCTTTTCCCCTCCTTGTCTCTTTCATGACTTTATTTAATGCATTAGAACGATTGTTATCGTAACTTTCCGTGTTTCTGGAAGTCAAACTCACTGTTCACATTACGGAGTATATTTCCGGAACGGCCTTTCAAAATAAAAGCCACAGGCCGCTGTTCACCAGAGATGCCTTCACAATAAAACAGTAATTAGCTTAACAATATATTGAACTTATATTACGTCCTTAAACATTGATTTTAATTCATTACAGTTTTCAAATACGGCGCGGATTGAATACAGTTATTTGTGTATTCTGTTACAACCTCACCATGCTTGTAACACAACTTAGATAAACAATTTTAAAATGAATAGAATTAACCAAGTAGATAAAAGATTAGTATAGTGGTTAAGGAGGGTGTCCTTGTTTTGCCTATTAACTTAGAACTGAAGTAATAAAGAATAGACAGACTACTACCATTAGTTTGTTTTAACATTCACATGTTTCAGCATTCCTGACCTCAGCCGTTTTATTTTGTAACCCGTTGGGAGAGAAATTTAAATTGAGTTTTTCTCAGTAGCTGAATGTGATTACAGCAGCATTGGCTAGTCCTGCACCACCTTTTGGGTTCTCTGAATCAGTGTGTTGGTGAGGAGTTGCTCACTGCAAACAGAAGAAGTGTGCAAAGAACGCATCTCTGAGGAGATATTGACATTTTGCTTGTGCCTCGTTGCCAAGGCAACAGTGGTGTGAAGAGGTACTTCGGTTTTGGGGGGGATTTATGCTGTACAGAGGACAACGTGTGTCTGCCAAGTGATTCCTTCCCTCATCCCAATGCCAGGGAGAGTTTCCTTGGAGCCCACTGACCAGGGCCGGTCCTAGCTTTTTTGGGGACCCTGCCACTGCTACAGCTGCATCACTGACTGTGCTCATTATGACAAGATCTTGAGACATGCTTGCCTCAGATTGTTCAGACTCTGAAGGAATGATGCAATGATTTTACAGCATAATTGTGCAAGAGTTTCCCAGGGGGTGGTGTAGAAACCTTAATGCTTAGTGTTTAGATAAGAGGCTGCTTGTTTAAATGATGGTCTGGAATACTGAAAAGATTAAAGTTTAATATTCTTGGTTAGCAAACAAGACATCTGATTATTATGTCACACATAATAATCTTGACATAGAAACTAGCTATGGGTAAAACGTGTGGTTGTTATACCATTGTTATCATGAACAAAAGATAAATAAGGAAATAGTATCTGCTTAAAGATGAACGGATTTCATATCCTAGAGAGGATTAGTTAATGTGAATACTCCACAAGGTATCTACTAATGTATTTTAAAGAACCAAATTTAAAGAACTTGAATTGACTTGATAAATAAGTGAAGATAAGAAGATGTATTAACCATGAATTAATCAATTGGTAAATTAAAAATAGCGGTAAAGAGGAAAACTATTAAAGTGAAGTGAAAAATCATCCTAAAACACACTGATGGAAAAGGGGGGGGGGGGGGCATGATGGAAGTATGCACTAGACTTTAAGTAGTGGGTGTTTGGGAGTTAGGAGTACAGTGTAGAACCATATTCTTCAATCTTTTCATCATGTTTACAAATTATTCTTTTAGAGTTTTTATTCATGTGTGAATTTGGTAGTGTTTTAATTTGTTACAGTATTAATCAGTTCAAAGGGAGAGTTTTAGTAACATCTCTATAAGATCAGACAAATATTTATTTATATAGGTCATGTTGAAGGGAAAGCTAGTTCTAAACAAAATATAGTATTTCAATTTGAGGTACTGGTTTCACCATTGTGGCATAGTTATTACCATAGGAGGGCTTTCGGATGGACATACGAAATGACTTCTGTTTTTAAATCCTTGATAAAGTAGGGAGTAATTGTTGCATGTTCGGACACCCAAGGTTCCACGCACTGTTAAAGAGGGTAACATTGTTCTTTAAGTGCACCAGAATTGAAGATAAATTAATATAATGAGTTATGAAATGCATAGCAGAGCTTTACAGATCCTAATAATGTTTTGACTCAAGAAAATAATTATATGCACAAGTTTCTGATCTATTAGACATTTTAATATAGATTAGGTGTTAATGAACTGCAGTAGTAGTACTATAAGGAAGTGAGTTTTGTACCAAG